CTGCAACAGCTTTATTTGTTTTCCTGAGAGCCCGGCACTCTCGAGATGACCCCCATGAATGTAAGAGCGCTGGCACAAGTACAGTGGGTGGTGTTCCTGGAGGGAGAGGCTCTTCGCCCCAGTTGTCTGCCTCTTTCCTACCTGTAGTTCCCCAGATGTTGCTTTTCATGCTCCTCCCTTGAAATCTGCTTGCGAACCTGTGCCAGCCGCTCTTTCTACACATAAGAGAAGAGCAAAGAGACAAATGACAACTTCTTCCAGATGAACGTCAGTGCCAACAAAACAATATATTCTATTAGAGGCAAAGACAGAATGAATTCCTGCAAGAGAGAAAAGAGTACAAAGAGTCTCGCTCATCAATGACTCATAATTTAGTCCATTTACTCTTTTATTAGTATGTTACAAAGGTGTAATTGTGGAGCTCAGTTGGCCAATTTGGCATAAAGACGAAAGGAGGGGACCACTTTCCTATTAGCACTGCAATCTCATTTAGCTCTAAGCAGTGTGTGCCTTTCATAGATCCAAACCTGGTCTCACACTTCAGCCATAACAGCACTCGAAAACGAAGTGTGGCCTTTTTCTAAAAGGTGCCTTTCCGCCATCTTTCCTCATTCCCACTGATTAGTGCCATGGCTAATCAAAAGGCTAATCAAAGAGGGTGGGAGGCGATAAAGTACTAGTAGCTGCCACTTTTCCTCATATACATGAGCAAAGCTCCCCCGACTTCATTTCAAAGAGAAAATAATTAAATGGTATGCTTGTGTCAGAAACTTTTGAGTCTTCTGACACAAAGTAAGAAGTAACTGAAACTAAGTTGCTGCTTTTCGACTTGTGTTTCAAGTGCATAATACAGCAGGGTGCTGAGACGTATAATTTATACGTCAAATATATTGATGTACCAGCTGATCGGTGAGTTAAGTAAACGTCTCTAATGACACGTCACAGATCTCTGATGTGAGCCTGTCTGAAGCCAAACCACCTTTTTGTGCACATTTTCGTGTGGCCTGCACAGCTTAAAAGTATCTCATGACTTATGATCGCCGCTCGAGACTGTGCAGTCATTGTTCTAATCCCCAGGCCGGTTTTGAATGTCCGGGTGGGGAAATGAACGAGTAGCGCTCTCAGCTCCCTCGACCACAGTTAAGGAGCACCACCTTGTACAGGTGTTTAGCATCGCAGATGCTGCCTTGCAGTTTGATACCAGCCAGCGCTTTAGACAACTCTGGTTTTACCTGTGGCGGGACAGTGTGTGTGAATGAGTGGATATAAAGCCCAG